TAGTGTTGTGAAAGCACCGCCCTGTTGATCTGTTGAGGGTTTTCCTTGTGCAAAGCTGCCCCAGGATTTGTTTTCATGACCCGGGAAATGTAGAACTGCACATTGCTGATGGATATTCACACAATAGACGCAAACGGAAAAAAGGATGTCAGGACATTTGAAAACAGCAGGATATTTGTTGAGTTTCTCGCTTACAGTTTTCACTTGCTTTTTTTAATGTCTGTTGAAACAACGATGAGCGCCAAAGACGTATTTTACAATTCCCAAGTGAGGAATCATGAGCAGATTTGCACATTTCCCCTTCGTTGCACCTAATTCTCTCTTCTTTTTCTCAATTCACTTTTCACAAATCTCAAACCTCAGATCTAATTTTACCTGCAACCAGCTTGTAATAAACATCAATACACTCTTAAAAATAGCAGTCTTTATTGGCATCAGTGGTCCCATGAAGAACCTTTAACATCCATGGAATCTTTCCATTGTACAAAAGGTTCTTCATTGTGGAAAAAAGGTTCTTTAGATTATTAAAATGTTCTACAAACTAAAACAAAAATGGTTATTTTAAGAACTGAAAGGGAGCCCAAAATGGCATTGCTTTAAAAGCTCCTTTTAATGCTTTTGTTTGTTGGAGTGTAGATCTAACAATACACATCCTCCACATATAAAATGATGGAGTAGTGTGGCTAGTTTAATTTCCAGAGCCGTCCCTCACCTTTCTCTCCTTCTTTCATCCCAAGAACATTAATATAAGGCTTCACTTTGAAGCACGTGGCCATGCATCTGCCAGAAATGTGCCGTTAAACCAGTCCGTTATCCGTCTGCGTATTTTGGTAGGTTCAGTTTCCCTCAAAACGCTTGCTCGTTAGTTTAAACATAATCCTGTGAGGAATGTTGTCAAGCCTTGTTCTCCGGTACATTCTGGACGTTACCCGCTCCACGCGGGGCCAATGCAAACAGCTTGGCAACTGTTGATTTTGATAACAACGGATGGCGAAATCTGACATTTGGAACAATTTGAACTCACTGTCCCAAAATTCATTCCAATGTCATGCAGTAATCTAATCCTCTGCTTCCCCTTGTACAGAGTACATGGCTTTTTAACTCATCTGCTGTAAAAGTGTAGGACACAGCAGGCAATAACCAAATAAAGACATTTGGTGCGCAGCACATATCAATATTCTGCAAGTATAATCGAATCAAAGAGATACGGCTCAGCGAAAGACAAAGGCGGTCTTCCACACCAAAGACTAATGCGCTTTTAGCTCTCTGATCTTGTTTTTCTTCCGAGTGCTTTATGGCTCGACAGCAGCGGCGGTCCATCAGAAGAGGCAAGGGACGCTGAGTCTCCCTTAAAATAATTGTTCGGAATAAATGCAATGACTAAAGTGATAAAATTAACTAGCTCAAAGCAATGGTGTCTAGAATTGAGCTCCCATGAGCACAGATGGCAGACTTCAAATCAGGTGCTTCCAGGAGATCCTGCGCCAGATGAGCAGAACGGAGATAACTGGGAATACTAGTTTTTTTTTTAACCAGAAATTATAGACCTACTTGGGATTAAGTGGCAGCGGCTATTTACACTAACTGAAAGTAGCATATTTTCTTGGAGATATATGCTATTTACACTAAGTACAAATAGGGATAGATGATATTTACACTAAGTGAAAACAGCATATTTTCTAAGCGATATACACTTAGTGCAAATAGCTATAGATTCTATTTACACTATGTAAAAATAGCAGGATGTTCTGCTATTTATACTACTTATTGCAAATAATGGCAAATATCTGCACCTCAGTATTGTACATTATAAAACCATATGCAATGATAACGTGTTGAGTGTAAATTATAATTGTAATTAAAATTATTAAATGGATGCCACTTTAATTGGGACACTAAAGCCCTCAGCTGCAACCTACCCTATACTTTTTCAACTTTTCGATTATTTCCTTCATTTGTATTAAACATTAATGGCTTTCCGATGTGATAAGAGATTTGAAAATGGAGAAGAAAGAGGTCGGCAAAAGGCGGATTCGAACAAGAGTTAAAAATACTACAGCATACGATTCACTACGTAACTGGAGCTGTTGTTTTGACAGCTGTCTTTTGTAATCTTGAGTGTCTCAATCACACATTGGTGAGCGGAGTTAGTGTAAATAGCCTCTGCCAACAAGGTGAGCTATTTGCACTTAGACACTGATGTCACTGCTGAGTAGATTACATATAAATTGTAGTATGTTACTGATTACATATTAGATGATAATTTTACAACCGGCTCCAAATTGCAACATAAACGAGAGCCAACACAGACCAGCAAGTAGCAAAGAAAAGTAGTATATTTAACAAAAACATAATTAATAAAGGTATTCAAACAGTCAGTATTAATGTAAGTCAGTGTTGAAAGCGTGCATGGCAGTGGACTGTAGGCTCAAGGTCTGAACTGTATTCAAACAAAATAAACAACAAAACAATAGAGCAAGCGGCAAGCCCGGCTAGCGTGGTCACATCGTGCCCCCGTCCTCATCAGCGCTGCAGTTTTTATAGCTCCGCATAATGAGCTCAGGTGGGAAGACACACCCACAATAACCAGTATACCTGCAAACCAAAAACAAAACAAGAAAAAACACAGGCCCAGCACTCACTGGGACATAACAATATAAATTGCAGTCAGTAATGTAATTTAGATTACTCATTTTAGGTAATGACTACTTTCTGACTACTTTTGGATTACTCTTATTACGTATGAGCTAACTTGTTTATCCAACTTTTTCTATAATCTATAATCTAGAGATTGTAAAAGAGACCTGCTGCCGCGAGACCCAACACAACAGAGTGTGGCGCGGGACAAGATGGGCGAGTGCAGAGACTTGTGTGTCTGCGGGGTGCGGGAGAATAAAATGATTCACGGGACTCCCGCAAAATATAAATATCTAAACATAAAATATCTAAAACAAATAAATCGTTATTCATCTATTGCACAAAAGCAACATGAACTAATATAAAATATAAACGATTAACAGGTGCAAGTGTATGCAGGGCTATAACACGTGCTTGCAGCGTTGAGCAATGCAGTGCTGAAATTTGCGTGCTCACGAATCCTCTCATTATAACACACGAATTGTAGACATTATGAAAGATTTATTATGCATATATTTATTGTGTTATAACAGAGATTTCTGAGATTGCGATGAACTGAGGTGTCTTTTAGAGATTATAAATGCAGCGCTCTTTGCTGGTATTCTGCCAAACCATGCACGCAGCAGCCGCTTGCTTTTGTTAAAAATAACAGTGTTCTGTGTATGTTGATGCTTTAATAACACATTTTTATCGGGAGCGTGTATGCTGGGATTTCATAAATTTCATGGAGAAAAAAGTAACGTAACTATTATTGTAACTAATTACTAAATACTTTTGAAATAAAGTAATCAGAACAGTAACGTGATTACTTTTAAAAGGAGTAATCAGTAATTTGATTACATTTTCAGCGTTACTTGCCCAATACTGGTCACATGCTTGAGGTATTCGGCCAATCAGAGCACACAGCACTTTACAGAACGATGACCTTTGTAAAAATTTACGCATTTCAGAAAGGCAAAGCAGAGAGGAGTGACAATAATGTACAGTATGTGTAAAATAATGTGTTTTCTCAGGCCATGTCCACACGTACATAGGTATTTTTATAAACTGAGTTTTTCCTTCTTCCGTTTAAAAAAAAATCTCCGTCCATATGAAAACACAGACTCGGGCTATGAAGCACTGTCAAGAGCATGCCAAGCCAACAGGTGGTGATATAATCTCAAACGTAAAGCCATGTTGGCCAACCAGAAGCCTGAAAAAGTTTCCGGTAGTTGGAGATAACAGCGCATGCTCCGACGTCACAAGCCAAAACTCCGGTTTCGCTGTCTGCATGATAACACTGCAACCAGAGTTTCTGAAAATCTTCCCCCTGGCAGGAGTTTTCAAAAATGACCTGGTGCTGCGTTTGCGTGTGGACGAACGGCCAAACCTGCGTTCGTGTGGACAGGGCCTCACTCACATTGCATTACACCAAATACACAAAATAATGTTCTTTTTAGCAACGTCATATGACCCCTTTAAATTGTACATGATTTATTACCTCAGTTCAGTCCACTCTAAAGATATGAGTCCAATGCAATATTTAAAAAATAGCATTTTGTCAGATATGTATCCGGAATATTGTAACAGTGGTAGGTATAATTGGCTACAGAAGTAGTAATGTGATTTTGGTTTGTGAGTTCAGCTCCTACTGGTACAAATGTTTAAAGACAGGGCTAAATTGTAATACCATGCACTCAGGATTAGTGTCCAATCTTTATAGTTGATTTACATTATGCTAATATCTGTTACATATACCAATGTTTACTGAGTCTGGGCTCCCTCTGCATATTTAAGTAAGGCTTGTAGAATGTTATTAGGTTTTGTAGTGTAAGTGATGCATATTTGCCTGCTTTCATCTCTCTTTGTTTACTGGAAAGTGCTTTTAAATGGAACTGATTGTTCCAAATTCTGCTGACTTTTTTGGCCTCCTGTCATGCACTTAACTTGGATTTCTAAACATCCTGCCGTATTAATGCTTCTGCTGTGATGATGATGATGATGGGTGCAAAAAATTGTGTTTGGAAAAACATGAGACAGAGTCACAGCTCTCCTAGCACCTGGGTGGATGAACCTAGGCCACGCACCAGACATCCCTGCTTGTTCAGAAGGATCAAAGGAAGTCAGCGCAGGCACGCTAGATATTCAAGTCCCTTCACAGATGGTGATGTTGACTCTGGAAGCCTGTGTAAAGACCTGGCTTTGCTGGAATTTAGGAAACAGCTCTAGCACTAGGGCCATGTGGGATCTCAAAAAAATAACATGTTAGATTGAGTGAGCGAGGGAGCAGGAATGACAGAGAGAGAGAGAAAGAGAGAGAGAGAGAGGGGGAGGGAGGGGGAGATGAGAAATGTTTTTTTATTTTTTCACAGACCATTGTAAGCAGTCAGAGAGACAAATAGTGAAGTGCAGAGGAGAGCAACAGGCAGTCGTCTCCAGAGAGAGCCTGAGAGCAATGACCAGTCCACTGACAACAACTCAACATCCGGACAGTAAGGAAGAGGGAGGTTTTTCATACTGCAGCCTGCCCCGGGGCCTCAGAAATCATCTGCCTTCTTCACAGCAATGCCTGCACCACACACTGAACCAAGGACAAAGTTTCTTCACTGCATGTAGCCTGATTTGCACATGGACACTGTAAGTCCTCTATGCCTTTCCACCTTTAACCTTCTGGATCAAGGGATACAATTTGAAGTTTCACTGTCCACTCTTTTCTGAAGTTGCTTGAAAGTTTCCATGCAAGTCTTGTAAATATGTTGCCTGTGGTTTTCGTGACATGGTGGGTCTGGGTGTTGCTTGGAAGCGTAGGGGGACAGTCCCAATCTCAACATCAATCTCAGACTGACGACTCAAACCCATGGAGACAGATGATTCAATGGGAGAACAATGGACGTGTGTTCAGTCTTCTCAACAGTGGGGCTGAGTACGTCCCGGCTCGGGCTCAGGAGCGTGACAGGAACCCCCGAGTGCTTTTAGCAGACGCTCCCAACCGTCGATCACAGGGTGGGAATGTACGAAGGCAAGCACCCTCCAGAGGAAGCTCTGAGACTGTGAGAGGTCAAGCCAGACATCCGTTTGGGTTTGGCCAGGTGCCGGACAACTGGCGTCAAGGTGCAACTGGAACAGGTGAAACAAGTCGCTTCCAGTCATCTACCGGCTCTCGCTTTAGGCCATCCTCTGGCTCATCCTCCTCCTCCTCCTCATCCTCCTCCTCCTCATCCTCTTCTTCTTATCCACAGTATCTGTTCCCTCAACAACCTCCTCATGACTCGGTTCTGGACAGGTCATACGAACCTCCCTTCCGTGGAACGGGGTACTCCACTGGCACTGGTGGTGGCTATGCAGGAGGAGGATATGGAGGAGGTGGGTACTCTACTGGAAGTTTTGGAGGAGGTAGCTATAATGGAGGGGGTCCTGCAACCGAAGACAGGTATCGATACTATCCCCCTTATGGTCAACCATACCAAGCTGTTCCTGCTCAGCCTGCACAGCCACTGGTCTCTGATGGATTGGACCACAGGTACACACACAGTCTGTACAACGAGGACACTCGAGATGCTGCAGTACCTGTCTCTAGCAACACAGGCTCATCGTTCCAGCCTGCGGTGCAAAGCCCCCAGTATGAACAGTTTCCCCCCTTTGGAAGGCCCCAACCACAGCCTCCGTTTGTGCAACCACCTCCACGCAACCCTCTCATCTCTAACAACGCAGAGAGCCCGAACATGAATGCAGGGAGTGTTTATCGTCCTCAGCAAAGAGGTATGATGCATATCCACGTCGTATACACTTGTGAAAGAATAATTTTGTACATCCCACACTAATGTTACTCAATAGTTTTGGTCATAGACTAGCAGTCCAGAAAGTGTGTTTTACATATATTGCACTGAATGCTACGGCGTTTCCTCATGATTCATGTGTCGAGCAATGCTGCAGGCTGCTATGCTAAGTAAAGTTAATCACAGAGGAATTACAGTTGACACTTAAGCTCTTGCACGGCTGGAGATTTGGGGAAATGGATGCACGTGTGGGGCTCGTTTCAGATTCTCGCTCTCTCTCAAGAAAAGGAAGTGAGAAAAACAGAGAGACATCTAAAAAATGTAGTTCTTCTGCCATCTCTTTGTGTTTCCTGGCAGCCCTTTGGATTTAGCAAACATGTAACCCAAGGGACTCAAACTGCACAAAAAGATTGTAAAGCTGTTTGCTTACGCAGCTGGTAATGGGCAATGCTTTTGAGCAAATTTGTCTGTTTGTTTCCTCATAAGCAGTCAGTAAAAATTACTCTCTCCTAATGTCAGAGCATCTTTCATTCCCATCACCCCATTGCCATTGTGTTTCAATTTACAATCAAATAAGTTCCAAGTCCTTCTTCATCTCAGAGGCTGGGTTATTGGAACCAGGTGTTGTGGGATGTGTGCGTGGGTGTGAGAGTATGTGGTAGTTGGTGTGTGTACTTAGTGCCTATGGATACTCGTTCTGCACAAAGAGTGCTCATTGTTTGAAGATTTGGTTCTGGTTTTAGTGATGAATGCCCTGCGAGGGCTACGGGTGAATGATCCCAGTATTTGCTTTAGAGGGTGGGGTAAGGGGCTCAAGTGACTTGGTTGTTGCGGGGTGGGTGGTGAACATGAGCGGGGTGTGTGGGGGATTGTGGGGTGTTACTACATAAGGAGTGGGGAGATGGAAAGTACCCAGCACACATGGGGTCCATTGTCTCAGGAAACAGAAAATATTTTGCTAGCCCCTAAATAAAAGTGTGTGTGTGCGCATATATGTGAACATGTGTGAGGAGGCGGGTGTGTGTAAGGCCTTTGGGACTGAGATTCTGGCCGCTGCCAAGGTTCATTTTGTAATGTGAAATGGTCTTTGTCTCTTGCTTGAGTCACTTCACGCATGATTAATCACCCTAGTTTACAAAATCTGGTCATAAGGGAAATGGGTGTAAACTCAATCCACTGGAAGGTACACATGTGGAAAAAATTTACATTACTCATTACCCAATGATGCAATCACAAACAAATAAGTTGAAATCAGAGCTCCAGCCTGCGGGAACATATATTATCTGTGAATCTGAGTCTTAGAAATTGAAATAACTTCAGATGGGACACATTTACTTGACTTGACCCATAGCATTGAACCTCTTTAAGATGGATGCTGAGATCTGGGCTGTATCTGACCAGAGGACATTCATTTATTTTACTTACATCTTACTAAAAAACATTATACTGTCATCATGTTTTTCTAAATTCTTGTGGACTTTATGAGGAATTTAAGTCAACTACTTTGGTGTAGTGCAGGCATCCAACAAAATTTTGTGGAGAAAAGTGCAGACTGTGTGAAGAAACTTTTGCTGGATAACCACAGTCTTTCACACTCTCTTTACACTGTTTACAAAAGCTGACCAAGGAAGTTTCCCGAGGCCTTTCCTGAAGTCTGTTTCAGACAGAGCTGGCAAATCAGATGTGTACACAGAGATGGAGATGGCAAAGCATTCACTGACTCCAGTGAAGGGTGGCACTAACGATTCTGAAATAAGGAGACTGACCAAGGGCATTATGTTTTATAGAGTGAAAGTTGCTCCCATCTCTAAACATGCCTCCAGCAGAAGTGAGATTAGATCTGCACTCCACATTGTTGCTAGCTGGAAGCAGCTGAATTTTCATGCTACTCCAAGCTGGTTTATGTTTGTTATTGCTGGTCTGGCTGTCAGCAAAAAAATGCTGCTGGATGACCATCCAAGTCTTCCTGGTTAAGGTAATTAAGAGGCCTAGTGGGACTCCAGTATCATACACTGGAGTCCATCGGTGCTGATCTTCTCAACAGGGTTATTTTCTCTGAAATCCATGACATGCAAAGCAGGAAAGCAAATATGCTGTCGCCTTCCCTTTGAAGAAATGTTAATGTCCACCTACGGACTTAGACTGCACTTTATTATATTCATAAGATTATTTAGACATAAAGTGAGCTTGCATTTTAAGTGTAAACAAAGGTGATAAGTAGTTTCTGTATTGGCCCTGTACATAGTTTTATGAACATTAGCTGTTACCGCTAGCTCTGTTTTTCTTTTTTATTTATTTTTCTGTCTTTTTTTTAACAAACGTGGTCACAGGCCCGATTTGGATCCAGCAGGGAAGTGATCTCTTTTTCATTTCGCTGTCACCTCTCCCTCATCTTTTGTACTCTCTCTCTCTCTCTCCCTCTCTACGTGCAACACTTTGTTCTTTTTTTCTTATTTTTGCGTGACCTTGAAACCAGATGAGAAACTGTGTTTGATGCATTATACTGTGAGGCTTCAGCATTACCTCCTCAAAACCCTCTTCATCTCTTGTGTATTTTTTCAAAGGCATACTTATTGGGATACAGCCATTTTTCAAATATTTTACTTTTTTTTACATTTAAAAGCATGTAACATCAGAACAGCTCAGAACATTAAAGAAGCACATTTGTCCCCAGGACAGTGTGTTATGAGACCTAACAGTCTGGTTTTTATGGTCAAAGCTGATCTCCAAAGATGGTCCGTTTGCTGCTTTGGTGCACTTTTCTTGGTCTGTTTGCTTGTTTTAAAGGGATTTGGACATTTAGTGGTCAGACTTGTTTGTTTGGTGGTTTTAGAGTAGTTTTGGATACTTTTCAGGTGGACAGGCATTTGGACACACTTTCGGTTGTCAAACTTGTCGGTTTGGTGGATTTAGAGTTCTGGACTCATTTCAGTTCATCAGACCAGTTGGTTTGGTGGTTTTCAAGTGGTTTTGGACCTTTTTTGGGTGGTCAGACCAGTCAGTTTGGAGATTTTTTTAGTTTTGCACACTTTTTGGGTGGTCAGACCAGTCAGTTTGGTGGTTTTTAGAGTGGTTTTGGACCTTTTTTAGGTGGTCAGACCAGTCAGTTTGGTGGTTTTTAGAGTGGTTTTGGACCTTTTTTAGGTGGTCAGACCAATCAGTTTGGTGGTTTTTAGAGTGGTTTTGGACCTTTTTTAGGTGGTCAGACCAATCAGTTTGGTGGTTTTTAGAGTGGTTTTGGACCTTTTTTAGGTGGTCAGACCAGTCAGTTTGGTGGTTTTTAGAGTGGATTTGGACACTTTGCAGGTGGTCAGACTTGTCTGTTTTTTGGTTTTAGAGTGGTTTAGGGTGTTTTTAAGGGGGCCAGGCTGGTCTGTTTGGTGGTTTTAGAGTAGTTTTGGACATGTTCATCATGGTTAGACTGGTCAGTGTGGTGGTTTTAGAGTAGTTTTAGATACTTTTTAGGTGACCAGGTGGTGGTTTTAAAGTTATTTAGACGCTTCTCATGTGGGTTTAGGGGGATTTTGGTACATTTTATTCTACAAACCAGCTGTAAATCAGCTTGACCAGGATTGAATACCAGCTATGACCTACTAAGACCAGTTAAGAAGTTTTCCCCTTCAGTGTAATTTCAGGAGATGTGCTTCAGCAGCTGGTTCTACACTGTAACCCTGATGATGTCTCCTGTTTTTAGGTTTGCCTGACCTGGTTCCTGACCCGAATTATGTCCAAGCCTCCACATACATTCAAAGAGCCCATATGTACTCCTTACGCTGTGCTGCAGAGGAGAAGTGTTTGGCCAGGTGAGAATCCTCAGTTCTTCTATTTATGAAATGGCAAAACAAAGCTGGTCAGGCAGTATTTACACAATAACCCTCCCACACTCGTTTACAACTGTTTACACCACACCATACAATAATACTTCAAACAACTAACGAGAACAGTGTTAGATGATATCTGGTGCAGAAGTATGGGGGGGTGTCACATCATATAAATTCCAGCCTGCTGTTATGAGCTCATCTCATATATACTACATGTTTTATTACTCAGTGCTGCAGTCCTTCATTAAGGTTTGTTTTTCTTCTCCTCAGCTCCGCCTATAGTGCCGAAACCACAGACTACAGTGTCAGGGTTCTTCTGCGCTTCCCTCAGAGAGTGAAGAACCAAGGGACGGCTGATTTCATGCCCAACCGACCTCGTCACACCTGGGAGTGGCACAGCTGTCACCAGTGAGTCTCTCTTTTACCTCTCTATATGTGGAGACCTCATGGGCATAGAATACGCGGGGGATGTGGTGGACTTTTAATAAAATGTAAATTAGTCCCCTGCACTTTTTTGCAGGCAGGTGTGTTCACGTACCGCTTTTCTAGGGCCAGTGTAAACAAATGTATGTTTGAAGTCAAAGAGACAGGATAGTCTATGCATGACCTGACGGTTTATTCACCAAAATGAGGTGATGTGAACATTACACTGTTTAGTAGAGCACTAAACACTCTCATGCAGTGCATGTTTCATTCATACTCGAAGCCAGAGGGCGCTCTCATGCAGAAAGTCCAAAATGGACTCATATAGAAATAATAACTTATGACATGCCAGGAAATCCCATAATTTTCTTTGAGTTGCAATTCAATATTAGTACGTTGTTTAACAAAACAACAAAAAAATACCACCAAAATAAATACAATCATAAAATAAATGGACAATACTCTCATTTTCCTCTTTAAAGAAAACACACTTCAAGTCAATGTCTTTACAAAATGTTGCAATTAGCTGTTTTACAAGATACATACGATGAACAATCTTAAATGATACCACTCTAATTTTATTTGTGATACAAAAACGTCTGGAGATCTTAAAGGTCTCTTTCCAGTTGACATCTTGAAATTGTGATCTCCAAAAGCCAATGGCTAAAGGAACACTGGACATTTGGCAAATCATTCTAAGACATGCATTATTTTTTTTTTTCTTTTATATTTATACCTTCCAATTTAAGACTAAAATCAAAATTTGGTTTTTCGTCTATATTATTTCCTAATAATTTCCTAAGCACTGAGCGAATGGCATTAATTAACATCATATACTCCTTGACAGGTATATAAAATAAATGTTTTTCTAAAAACTCTAAATATGTAAGCACAAGGAACTCCCTAATAAGGACAAAAGCATTCAGTGATCGCTGTAGCTAAGCTTTATAAATAGCAGAAATTATTTGACTGATGAAACATGTAGACAATAAACACATAATTGTGACAATATATGGTTTATATGTGTTTTCCTAAGTCATCTGCAGGTAATAAATACATAAAATATATGAATAATGTCGTGCTAATTCACATATAATTTAGTACAGAAACTATAAAATATATTTTCTGCCTAATTATGTGATAAAAAAAATGTGTGTGTGTGTGTGTGTGTGGGGCGGGGGTGTTTGTAGTATATAAACAAATCATAAAATTGTCATTAGGAAAATATCTACAAAAAATTGTAGAATACAAATTATTAGATATGGTCATTTATAGTCTTTGTTATTGTCCAGCAGTGTATTTGATTTCTTAGTCAATCAAAAGTAAGATTTTAATAATCATAATAATAAAAACCAGTTAAATAATAAAAGGTATTACATGTGTCATTTCTGTCCCCCTCACCATGCAGTTTCTGCCTTAATATGATTAAAAAAAGTCCCAGAATAATGGAATTATAATAGTCCCGATTGTGGATGTATTCAATTGGTTTATATTCCTTATCCTGCATCAGAATCTAAATTAATTCTGTCATCGAATTATGTATTTGGTTTCACTTGGCGAAGGGCTGTTATCCTCCGAGGGGATTTCCGTGTACAATCAGCTGGGCCTCGTGACAAGTGAATGTCTGTGAAAGTGAAAGAATGAATGTCTGTCAGTACTTGTCAGGTCTGTGTTTATTCACCTGTAGCTGTTCGTTACATCATGTCTGCGTAGAATTGTTCTTTTGCGTCGTGTTGAACATCATCGATGATGGCTGTCACTCATGTCGGCTCAAATTGTCGTCTGTCATTGAAAATGAGTGATTTAGGATCTCACTGTATCTCACTGCTGCCAAGGTTAAGGGTTAAGGGTCAAGATTAAAATTAATGGGCGAGTTCTAGTGAAAGCTCGGGTCCCCAACCTTGACATGATCCACCTCAGAAAATAAATTAAAATAAATGATTAATTAAAAATCAGGGCTGTCAATTAAACATGTTAATTTAGTCTAATTCATTTTTAAAAAAGAGCATTATATTGATGAATCTTACGGATTATACAGTACATAGAGAGAAAGAGAGGGAGAGACTATATATATATATATATATATATAGACTTCTATACAGTTTGAGGTCACTTATATATATATATATATTTTTTTTTTTATGTTTTTGAAAGAAATCAGCTTACCAGGGCTGCATTTCTTGATCAAAATTACTGTAAAAACAGTGAAATATTATTATAAATAACTGCTAATAAACAGCTGTTTTCTAAGAGATTATCTGTTAAACTGTAATTTATTTCTGTGATCAAAGCTGAGTTTTCAGCATCATTACTTGCTTCAGTGAAGACATCTTGCAGACACTGAAGACATCATGACGTCTTCAGTGTCACATGATCTTCAGAAATCAGTATAATATGCTGCTTTGCTGCTCAAGAAACATTTCTGATTATTATCAATGTTGAAAACAGTCGTGCTGCACAATATTTGTGTGGAAACTGTGATGCATTTTATTTTTCAGGATTCACAGATGAATAGAAAGTTCAAAAGAACAGCATTTATTTATATTCAAATTGTCTACATATTTTTTTAATTTAATTTTTTTTTATTTGGTAGACAGTCCTATTATAAATAAATTGGAAGTGAACAATAGAGTTTAATTCTGTAGTTCAGTCGAGGTGCAGACGAGTGTCACTTTCTACGGCTGGTGAGCATTTGCTCATAAACAGATTATTACTGTAACCTGGAAATGTCAGTACATGAAGTATTTAGCACTTTAACTCATTTCTAATGCAATTAGACAGCTGAGCGGTGTGATGACCTCTTTCATGTAACCTAAATCTGACGCCATGCGAACAAGCGCCTGACTCTCTTTGAAGAAGAAGAACTGCAGGGAGATGTTTGTCAGTGAGCAGAAGCTAATCTATAATTACTTGCACATCTCCGCTTCGACATGATTGATATTTTTGTAGAGATTGAAAGTGTCCTTGGCATCTCATTTCTAACAGCTGAAATGAAAACTGTCGTTTTTCTTCCCATCATTCTGGTACAGCTTGATCTTAACTTCAGCGTCCAAAGAATGCTTTTCCAGAAGTGCTCTGACTTTTTTAGATGTTTTTGGCAAAGTCTAATCTGGGCTTGTTTGCAGCTTGTGGTGAAGCCTCTGTGTTTGCTCTGGTGAAGTCTTCTCTTGATTGTAGACCCGTCTGCCTCCTGGACAGTGTTCTTCTCTTGGCTGGATGTTGTGAAAGGGTTTTTCTTTACCACGGAGAGGATTCTCCGATCATCCAGCACTGTTGTCCTCCGTGGACATCCAGGTCTTTTTATGTTTCTGAGCTCACCAGTGCATTCTTGTTTTGTTTCTCAGAATGTGAAATGATGTTCCTGCTATCTTTTGAAGCCTAACACTTGTCTGTTTCACTTGTATGGAGCGATCTTTGACCGCATGATGTGGATCACAGCAACAGCTTCCAAATGCAAATGACACACTTAGAAGCAACTCCAGAACTTGTACCTGCTTAACTGATGTAGAAATAACGAAGGAACAGCCCACATCTGTCCATGAAACGGCTTTTGAGTCAATTGTCCAATTACTTACGGTCCCTTGAAAAAGGTAGAGGTACATATTAAAGAGCTGTAATTCCTTAACCTTTCCTCCAATCGTGATGAGAAACTAAAGCTCAGAGTGTGCACTTTAAGCCCATATTCATCATATAACTGTAACTCAAATATGTTTTGGTGAGCAGCTAAAGAAAAAAAAATGTGCCTGTGTCCAAATATATAGTAAACTGATTTTAAATTGTGATGCAGTGGAAGTAGTTAATAAGTCGTTAGTTACAGTAACTATGATAGCAGTAATATTTCTTTATTTCTTTACTTTTAGTGAGATGACAGCAGGTGGTTTCTTCTCAGTTTGTGATTGTTTAAATATTGCTCTATAACTCTATATTTATTAGTATAAGTCAGTTGCACATGTAGAAGAGAGTTGCCTTAAGTGATTAGCTGGCCCAATTTTTCTGTGGTTATCACTGCTGTGTGTGTGTGTGTGTGTGTGTGTGTGTGTGTGTGTGTGTGTGTGTGTGTGTGTGTGATGGGGAGTGAAAG